AAAAGAATGTTTTTCGAAGACCTCCGGCTGGATTTGAAATGGATCAGGTAGGGCATCCGTTTACGACGTGGGTGGAATTAGCGGCGGCTATCTAGCGGGAGTCGTTTCGGTTGTATGCCACGAATCTCTTTTGTTTGGGCCGGTAGCTAAAAGAAAGTCCCTAACTATTGCCCATTTATTCTGGAATAATCTTTTTAGGAGGGACAATTTTACATATTTCTGCCAAAGTCCTTCCCCTGAACTGGAGACGGAACTTTCTTATTCAACTATGGGGGTTAGCAAATTGATGATGGTTTATCATCATCAGAACAAAGATCAGTCTAGGTCGAGCAATCGAATTTTTGGAAATGTGAAAGAAATTTTCGGTTAGAGAGCTCATTCAAGCTTGAGGCTTGTTCGGAAAAATCCAATTGCGCTTCTTACCCTTATTTTTATGTAAAGGATCTTGTAGGTTGGGTAGCGTGGCCCAGCCCATAAGGGCCATGCGGACTTGACGTCATCCCCACCTTCCTCCAGTATATCACTGGCAGTCCTTTGCTTGAGTAAGGAGTAGGCCATTCCAGATAGGCTGCTTTTGCTGGCATATTCGATAAAGTATCCTTTTTCAGTTTCCTTTCAATCTCTAGAGATTAATCGAATTACAAAAAAATATTGAAGAGCTAGCCCCGAAGCATTGACATTGAAAGAAGTCCCTCAAGCATTTAAAAAAGAACGGTATACAGTAAGTCAGTATAAGTCAGTACAGGAAGGGCACGCGAAACGACTTCCTTTCTTTAGAGTGATCCCCGTCAAGCGAAACCCCATTTCTGAGGTTGGATCCTGCTTGCCAGCTTCAGAATATCGACTCGCTGAAGATGCCACGTAAACTCAAGCCCTCTCAAGGCTCAAAGTCCCTCCTTCCGCTCCTGGCTTCGTCGTTTAGTGGTAACAAGTGGAGTGCATAAGCCACTTTAGAGATAGGTCGGTCGACTTGTCACGATTGATTGCTCACACACAGTCCTCCAGCTTTTCATACTTTTGGAGAACTTCCAGCCATCAAGGAGACGAAAAGCTATGTGAAGTAAAAGAGGTATGGATTGGAGATGTGGAAGATACATTGGTCGAAGCTTCGTCACCAATCTTCTTTTTTAGGGAGTCGGAGACGATCGAAGAGTTCCCGTTCTCGCTTTTCTTGATCTTCCAAGCTAGTCCCCGCGCCGATTCATTTTGCACCTTCTAATCTTACATAATAATAAAGAAAGTTAGCTCTTTAAGTCATCGAGTGACATATAAAACAAGGAGACATCTTTATGCGCATAGGCTAATAAGCAGGTCTGTTCGTTGTGGAAAAGGTGCCTTTGGGGACATCTGTTGTTGTGAATTCCTACCAAAGAATCCATTAGGTTTGCCTGCTGGAAAATATGTTGTAAAATCATTCAGGCCGAGGAGCATTGAATCCTACGTGGTTGTGTCTCAATGCATTGTTTCTTCTTTTTGTTTTTGTTAGATACTTGTTGTCTCGACGTCTTTGCTCCTTTTTGAGTGATTATATATTGTGAGTCTTACATATTCTTCATTCTTTTTGTAGGGAGAGCTATATTATCTGAAAGAATTACAGTACAAGTTTATCCCAAAACTGATTGGATATGGGCACGACGGAGGTGTAAGGTGTCACCTAATTATGAAGTACTATTCTGGTGGTAGTCTTAGACAGAAGATTGGTGGTATGTTGTCTTCTCTTATTAACTTTTTTTCTTCTTCTGAAAACACACAAGGTTCCACAAGCTTAATTCTTAATGTAGTCTTTTGCATAGAATCCAGAATCGTAGTTCAGTTGGTTTAGTTGCATCCTTGCATCAATACCCTAGCACAGGGTATCCTTAATGCCCATAGTCATAAGGGAACTAAAGGAAATTTGACATTTCACCTCAAGTTGCAATTCATCTGTAGCAAAAATCCATACTGTCCCACAAATATTAGATATATCAGTAACATCCTATCTTTTCCTTGAAACTATGTTGTCTTTATTATTTATGTTGGGTTGGCATTTTTTCTAAGAATTTGATATAAAACAAAGTTCTCTGCTGTTCCCGTTATCAGGATCTCATTAATCGCATGTGTCTTACAATTTTCTCTCTTTCTACAAATGTGTGGACATGTTATACTTTTCTTGGTGCAGGCCTAAAATATCAGCATGCACTAACGATTTTAATTGATGTGTTTGATGGGCTGCATCTTATACACGCCCATTGTGAGCACCATCGGATAGTACATGCTGACCTAAAGCCAGAAAATATAGTGCTTGATGAGGTAAGCACCATTGTCAATGTTTTAAGTCAAAAATTTCCATCCCCTTATGCCAAGAAGCTAACTTATATATTAAACATACACGGTCAGGAGTGGAGAGAAGCACTTTGTGACTTTGGCCTCACTGGGGAAGTTTTTAGAAAAAAGGCAGTTTGGATGAGTAGATACGATGAAAGACCTAAAAGAAGAGAAAGTAAGAAATTTTATCTTCAAGTGCAAAATGACCTATTCAAATTTGGTATGGTAAAAAGGTTTTCTTGATCTTTATGCAACTTGGAGTAACCAAAAAATTTTCCTTTTTGTTTTCTGACAGTCAGGCCAGAGTATATGGAAAAGACATCCTATGGGAGTCAAGAATCAGAAATATATGCCTTGGGATTGATTATGATTGAAGTTTTAACCAAGGAACCAATTGATGCAGTGGAACTTGCAGAAAGTGTTACAGGGAAAATGCAAAGCAAGGAGTCACTCCTAACAATGATTCGAGATGAAATTAAGCTGTCCGGTTGCAACTATGGTAGAGCTAAGGATCTGCTTCTTTTGGCTCTCTGCTGTATTAGGAGCAAAAGGAAAGATCGGCCACGGGCTTATGAAGCTTCATATGAGCTCAGAAAAATCCAAGACTCGTTGGTGTAGATGTCTCTATTCACTAAAAGAAATGAAAAACAATGCAGTTACATGGTGAAATAGGATTTGTTCGTTGAATATTGATTCTTCAACATCTAATTAGTGGTTCCTATTTAGTTTGTAGAGTTCACATTTTTTTGGTGAATTGCAACTGGTAGTTTATGCATGCTTCAAGTTGGAATCCTTATATTGATTCTAGTATTTCAGTTACTCATGTGGGGGTTTCTTTGTTTTAATGATTTTTGGCTGGTGTCATTGTAGTACGTACGGATGTGTCAGATCTTTTAAATTGAATCCCGACTTGAAGTGATCCGATCCAACAAAAATTGGGGCTATTTTTAGTAAAAAATTTCCCAATCCATTTCTTGGTTTGGTTGATTTGTGGTTCTTTCTCTATTACTATGTTCAAGTTCCTGAATGTTGTACTCTTGCCCGTTTCAATCTGAATACATACATGCATTGGCGTAGTTGCTTTCTTGTGAACCTGTGACCTTGAGCAGTGTTGGTTTTGTTTTTGGATTCATTGTTGTCTCGTTGGTCAAAGTCTGCTTATCTATTTGACTTCAAATATCCTTTTATGCATATGATATATATATAGAGAGAGAGATATTTTATTGGCATTATCCTCTAGGGGTCAATCATTTGATAACCAGAGTCATTCTTTGATAAATGATCACTATGAGTCAGATAGAATTTGATCAATCCTATTTTCTGTCGTTAAGGTGGAGAACTGAACCAAGAATTCTCTTTCTTCATCCTCAATCGAATCACTGTTCGCGACCCAGGATTCTATTTTATCATCAATCCAATCCCCGGATTCTATTTTATCATCAATCGAATCCCCGTTTTTTTCTTTTTGAATTCATTGTTGTCTCGTTGGTCAAAGTCTGCTTATCTATTTGACTTCATATATCCTTTTATGCATTAGAATATATGATATATATATATATATAGAGAGAGAGAGAAAGAGAGAGAGATATTTTATTGGCATTATGCTCTAGGGGTCTTTTGGTTGTACCAGTCGTCCCTGGATCTCATAAGTTAACGCCTATTCCCGCAGTTGAATGAATGCTTACATAAGATTTCTGAAATGCTTAGCATCATAGGTAACTCATGAGGCACCTTAATCAATTTATTCTTATAAATAAATAAATATATGTATATATATATATATATATATATATATGTATGTATGTATGTATGTATGTATGTATAGGTAAAGAAGAACCTCTTGCACTACTTAGGTAGAGTGTATTAGCAAAAATAATGCATGCATTAATTATATGTATTAGTAATCCCTTGTTTGGTGCATTTTTTCATGCTATGTATAACTAACGCTTGCATTGGTTATACACTCTATTGTGTATTGAGGAGTGTATTACTAATACCATGGATTTCTAAGTATTAGTAAGAGATAAGTATCAAAAAAACACCTAAATTATATCATTTTTTTGAGTTTCATACCTAAGCTTTTGAAAGTATGAGTTTCATACCTAAACTATCACTTTTTAGTTTGAGAAACACATATCTCTATTTTATATCATTCTTATCATGGTGTGTGTAATACACTCTTTTATTTTAAAAAATTGTCACATCACACTCTACATGGACAATACATTCAACCTTGACAAAAATTAAATAAATTATTAATATTAGTTAAAATTTAAAATTCAAAAATTATTATCCAAAAATATAATATTTCTTTTATAAAATAATAAAATATTTTTCTTACTCCCACTCTATCACTTCCTCTC